GGGGGGGGGGGGGGTGGCTCTACCTTGTTCTTGTTGAGTGGCCTTGGGCAATGACACTTCTCCCAGAAAGTCCATTTCCCCTTGTAGAAAGGGGGTGGGGCTCATAAAGAATTCTGGATGCCAGCCATGGAAAGAACTGAAGCCCACTTGGAAAGGGAACAGAGGGGACACTTCCCACTGATGTAATTGAACTAGGATTGAGTTCTTGAGGCAGAGAAGAATGATAAATGAGGAGGCAACCCAGAGTTGCAAGCAAAGCTCGGGTCAGGAGGGCCTTGGCAAGTAAACATGACTGTGGGATGTTTCTAAAAACACGGTGCAATGAAAATGTGTGTGTAGTACTGAATTACTTTCCAAATGGCAAATTCCTGGCAAGTAATCTTTCCCACCTTCTACTTTTTTTTTTGGCTCCTGTGGGGAGGAGGAGGGTGGGGTAGAGAAGAAATGCAACAGGGTGACCCTCCAGTTAAAAATGAAAAAGAGGCAGCAAAGGGACACGCCATAAGCAGTCGGGCCCTAAAATAGCTGCACACACAGAAAGTTAAGCAGATAATTGAAGGGAAAATATTGAGGCTACAGCTGAGATTCCACGGGCCTAAAATAGCTGCACACACAGAAAGTTAAGCAGATAATTGAAGGGAAAATATTGAGGCTACTGCTGAGATTCCGGGGGGGGGGCCTTATTTGGCCCCTCAGTCCCTTTCATCTGAGAAGGGCCTCTGTTCCTTGTGATAACCACAAGCAGCCTTCTCAGCCTCCTTCTTCTACAGCAGAAGAAACCACAGGGCCAGCCCCTTCCTTTGTCTCTCTGATGAGGCCATTATCAGAGGCACTGTGGCATTTTGTTACTAATGATGAGCTTGTTATTGGTGGGGTAGAGCCTATTAATTTAGGTTATTCGTCAAATCCTCCAGCATGGAGTTGAATGAGACATGTGATTTGGATACACTAATGACTATGTTTAGTTATGAGCAATGGGGAGTTTCTATAGAATCTGTCCCTTCTCTCCTGGCAGCGGCCTTTTGTAATGCATTGATCCAGAGCCTGGAGTCTAATCCTTTAACCAAAATAGCCTGGAGGGCAGCAAAGCCTTTGCTGATGGGAAAAATCCTCTTTACTCCAGATTCTCCTGCAGCACGAAGGATAATGAAGAATGTAAGATCCCAGCTGGTCTTGTCCCTTGTACCTTGGACCTCCCAGAAGAATGTGTGTGTGTGTGTGTGTGTGTGTGTGTGTGTGAGTGTGATGTGCCCTCCTGGCAGCAAGTCTCATGTTTGTTTTCTGCTAAGTGGACTCTTGGGTTTCCTCCCCCATCCACAGTCATCTTTGGAATGCTTTGCTCCAGTGCCCCTGCCTGGGCCCTCCCCTGTCTATGGCAGCCTACAATGAGGTTTTCTTCCCCACTGCCTAAATTATATCCCCAATGGAAGGGTTCACAATTCTCTGAATCCTGGCTACCTGGAACATACAAAGATAGGGAAGGAGGAAGGAAGAATATTTGCTTCCAGGGAGTCCAAATCGAGCTTTAATGAAGTTCTGAGAAAATAACATCATCAATATTACATGTACCTATGAGACACTAAGAAATTAGATTCTGTTGATCCGGGAAGCCAGAAAATGGCAGATTTTTCTCGGAAATATCAATAGACTGAGAAAATAAAAACACTTCCTTTGAAAGCCTTTCCCAAATATTAAGGGTTTATGATGGGGCAGAAAAGATACAACCAATGTTTCTCTCTCACTTTTTTCTCTTTGTTCTTGTCTTTGTCTCTATCTTTGTCTGGTTTTAGGCCAACTCAACTTTTGAAGAACTGGAGCGCTTTAGGAAATTGGTCAAATCCTGGGAAGAAGTAGGACCTCAGATCTGGTACTTCTTTGACAAGAGCACACAGATGACCGTGATCAGAGTAAGGGTGGATTTAGAGGGTGGAAAGGGGAGGGCGGGGGACGACGAGGAACAGGAAAGTTCCATTTGTTTTCTTTTCCCAGCAAACAGTTAATTGCTACTGGACTTAGTTAGATCAAAACATAACAAGCAGGGCTCAAAGGCACTAGTTCTGGAAGCTGTCACCAAGTGGAGTCACTGACTTCGGGTGGGAAATATGTTTCTTGAATTCTGAGGTACATCTATATGCTGCTACAAGACCAGTGGTTTCCTGAGGGTTTTTTGCTTTTATGAATTCATTTGAGAGCCTCAGATTCAAAGGAGAATCTCCACCAGGAGCCAGCTATGAAGTTGCAAAGATGGTTGAGCGTGTCCATCTGGTCTCATTTCCACCTTTGCAAAGGCAAGAGACAGCAGTCCTATATAGCAGGGATAATTAAAAGATTTAAAACTCCATAAGTAAAAGAAAGCTTCCTATTTATCCCATACACATCTTCTCTCTATTACAGAGACCCATGTATTTGGGGGGAAATGAGATATAGCTAGGTATGCCTTATAATGGAAGAAAACCCACTATCTTTTTAGGGAGCCTTAAAATCACTATCACTAATCATTAAAAATTAGAAAGGGCCTAAGAACAAGACCAAAGATCCTGTGGAATTTCTAAGCTGTGACTGTGTTTCTTCTTCCCAAGGACACCCTGGAGAACCCAACAGTAAAAGGCTTTGTGAACAGGCAGCTCGGTGAAGAGGGGATTACTGCCGAAGCCATACTAAACTTCCTCTACAGGGGTCCTCGAGACAGCCGGCCGGACAACATGGCCGACTTTGACTGGAGGGACATATTTAACATCACTGATCGCACTCTACGCCTGGTTAATCAATACCTGGAGGTAAGGGACAGCAAGCCACCTGAGGGTCACAGTGGGCCCCTCAAAGACAGCTTCTTGGGTGGGGCCACAGATCCTTCAGCAAGTCGAGGGTCTTATGTCATTTTCTTCACTGAAGAAATAAGAATTCCCACAGCCCCCAAACAGATCCTCTTCTCTAACAGCTTATCCACCCTTCGAACAGTCCCTTCTTCACATCTCCTACCTCCTAACTGTTCCTTGACTCCTTTGCAGCTGGCTCCTCCTCCCTTGTAGCCCTAAGAGTTCCAGGTGTGTCCCCAACCCTCTTCTGTCTGCCATTGCTTCAATGACCATCTGTTGGCCAGTGTCCCCCAAACCTCAAGTTCTGAGGTCCCACTGCTTGCTGGACACTCCCACCCCCAGGTTCTACAAGCATATCAGACTTGTCATGTCCAAAAAACAAATTTATGTTCTCCCTCCACATAATCCTATCCTCCTCCTGCGTCTCCTCTCCTGATTAATGTCATCAGCATTAGCACAGATTCTCAAGCTAGAGACTTCAGTGTCATCCTTTTCTTTCTTCTTCACCCTCCACTCAGCAGCTCTCATTCCGAGTGTTACTTTGCAAACACCGTGCTAAGTGCTGTAGGCCACAACAATTCCATCCTCACAACAATTCCATGAAGCGCACACTACGTCATTGCCAAGTTATGGATGCAGAAGCCAAGACTTACAGAGATTAAATAAGCTCCCAGGACACAGCTGTTAGGAGTTGCAAGCAGGGTCCAAAGCTGGGTGCACCTGGCTTCAGAGGCTGGTCCAGTCCCCGAGCTTTGTCTCTTCAACCTGCTTCTTTCTCTCTACTCTGCCTCCTGCCCTCCAGGCTCTCTTAGGACTGGAGTCTGTGTCCTCTCTCCCCTGGTTGTCCTCCAGCTGCTCACAGCCCTCAGTGGTCATCTCTACACCAAAAACTCCACAGAAAGAGGGACTGGCTTTCCTGCAGCATATACAGTGCTCCCAGAGAGTCCCCTATTGGCCTGGCTCCTGTACCCGTCCCGAGTACCTCAGGGGACTGTACACTCTGATTGGGAGGCCTGGGTCAAATTCCCACCACAAGGGCATGACTATGAGCAGGGTTACTGTGAAGTGGGGAGGCTGTTTCCCCAGAAGAAGAAACACAAAGTAGAAAATGTATGTCCACTACAGCCTGAATGCTTTCCTTTGTACATCTGCTGAGCTTCTACCTGTCCACTCTTTGAGACTTGGCTCTCGAATGTCACTTCGGCTTTCACGTAGGTTTACTGCTTCACTCCTCCATATTTTCTGGCCCTCTTCACACGTCTCTTGGACTCCGGTCCAAGTTAGGTTAGAGATAACTGGTAATGTGTCCCTCACTGGCTGAACCGCTAGGCTGGAATTAGCATCAGGGAGCAGGTCTTAGCCATTTTTGAATTCTCTACCTCACACCCCCCGGGACTATCTCCATCTCAGGGCTGATTACACCTGCCAGAGGGCCAGGTCTGGGCCTGGTGTCATCTAGAACTGTTAGAAGGTGGAAGATGCCCTGAGCAATAGGAGAGGGAATGAAGCTGAGGACCATCAGCAGTAAGCCCTCCTCTCCCAGACTTGTGGATCCTGAGGATAACTAACTAGTGAGAAAATGCATGGCTCTGCCTGTCACCAGGTGCTCCCAAGGGCTCCCTGCTGGCCTGGAACCACCAGATTTCCCCAGAGTGTGAGACTCTTCTGCTCTGGACCCTTGGAAGTGGCAGCACAGACCCCCATGTGGACTTCCAGAAGGTTCCAGGCACTGCAGCACCACTAAAGTTCAGGTCATTACCAAGCAATTCCCAGCTTGTTTGAAGACAATGACCTTGAGTGCTTTTTACAAAACAGATTCCTGGGCATCAACCCAGGTGGACTGACTCTGGATATCCAGGGAAGAGGCCTAGTAATCTGTATATTTAGAGACCTATTAGATTTGTGGGGCCTTGGAGTTCCCTTGTGCGATCACTCATTTGGCATTGCCTTCCTCTCATGGTGCCTGTACCTGCTAAGCCCACATCCCTAGCCAGGCCCACCACTGTCCACCCCCTGTTGTCACAATACTGGAAGGACCCACGCTGGTGGCAAGAATGGAGGAGAAGGGCTCTGCTCCTTTAATCTTGCAGAATGGAGTTCAGTGCTTCGCCCAATATTTTTGGGAGGTACTATAAAGAATGCTTCTTGTTTTTTGTTTGGCTTGACTTTTGTATCATGACGTAAAGGTTTTGTTTTCTTGAAGCATTATTTTTGCCGTGTAGCTTGTGCTTAATGCAGCACCAGACACCCAACAGATACTTAATATATATTAATTGCTTATTAATAACCACTTATTAAACATAATAAATGGTTAAGAATTCAGTCTTTGAAGCCAGACTGCCTAGGCTCAAACTGCTACTTTTTGTGCCTCAGTTTCCATATCTGTGAAATGGGGATATTAATAGTACTTACCTAATAGGCTTGTTTTGAGAATTAAATGAGCTAATTCATGCAAAGCATTGGCATATAGTAAACACTTAATAAATATTAACTTTTTAACAAAATACAATAAAAATACAATTGTTTCTGTATCCATGGGTTCTGCATCCATGAATTTAACCAACTGCAGATCGAAAATATTCAAAAAATAATTGCATCTGTACTGAACATGTAGACTTGTTTCCTTGTCCTTATTTTCTAAACAATACAGTATAACAACTACTTACATAGTATTTACATTGCATTAGATATTATGAGTAATCTAGAGATGATTTAAAGTATACAGGAGGATGGACCGGCCTGGTGGCGCACTGCTACAGTGCGCCGCTTGGGAAGTGCGGCGGCGCTCCCGCCGAGGGTTCGGATCCCACATACAGACCAGCCGCTCACTGGCTGA